ATAATCTTTAATTATGTATCGAACGCGTTTCGAGGGTTGTATCGCATACGAATCTTAGCTCCAAAACATTTCTATTCTTACCACAATCGACTTAATTCTGCCCGTATACATGTGCTCCATTTCTTGTTTTTGAATTTGTTTTTAAAATTTTGTTGTATAGAAAGACAAGTCATTAGACTTTTCACCATGCTAGTCAGACTGCATAGTGTAGGATCATTACTAGTTTTCCTTCTTTTGCATTGGTGTATTGTTAAACTTTGTTACCTTTAACGACACTGACATCAGATTAAAAGTAATGATGAAGGATTATATTTTTAATCCATTACCATTTGGAAACACAACACTATCCGTATCCTGAACTAATTTCCCAAATGTATTATATATACATTTATATACATTTTTCATTAATATATATATATATATACATTTTTCATTAGATAGACCACCAGTTTGTTTTAGATTTTTAATATTCAAGTTGTTACATCAATTTTTAATGGAGATAGATCTAGATAATTTATTAAACGTGGATAAAAGTAATTTTTCTGATTCTGATTTTGGTTTGTATCATGTTCTTGAAATACCCCATCATCCCATTGGTGAATTTTTTTCTTTAAAATTAATAGTCAATATTAATTTTGTTTCGATTGAAATTGCCACTTTTTTTCTGTGAAACATAATCTACTCGTATTACTTTGTCTTTTGGGTATTCTATAAAAAAAAGCGGCGGTTCTGAGATCTCGACTCTCTTATTGGTGGGGTGTCGTCAAAGGACCAATTAGTACGACAGACAGAAACAGTAATTAATTATTCTTTCTGGACATTCTTGTCTACCGCGGTAGTAGAAGAGCAGATAAAAAAAAATTAACAAACTGTCGCTATATTTTATTGCCGTCAAAAATAAATCCTTGTAGTGACTCGTTATATGTATACTTAATTAAAATTAATTATGGAACAAGATTTGAGTCGGTACATTATTCATGTCCTATTTAAGTAACAAGATTTGATAATCATTAACAATTTTTAAAAATCTGTTTGGAATATATTACAAATTTCTCTAGATACAATAACGTTAAAAATTTGAAAGTGTTTGTTATCTTTTGTCAATGGTATACATACGGGATTTTTTTTTGGAATTGGGACAAAGTATAACACAGGCTACTACTACTGTTTTTTAACCCGATCAAACTAATTATGTCTCGGTGACACGGATGAAGTCCCTCCTTATGCATGCATATTACTAATTAAAACGTAGCTTTTACTGTATTCTATCAACAAGCAATGAACCATTGTACCGGTTTACATACAATTAGTTTGTTAAAATACAACTTCATGAAAAGGTAATCATGTTTAGACGAAAATATAACAGAAATAGTTGAAATTAGTAATTAATTTCAATTAAATGAAAATAATAAAATTAAATTAAATTCTTATATTAAAATATTTGGATAGATAACAAATCTATCCAAATATTTTAAAATAAGAATACCCGGATTAACTTATGTGTATTTTAGTCGAGAACGGTCGGGATATAGTGTGTACTTACGAAACTTTAAACAATAAAATCGGAATATTCTATTAATTAATTGATTTAATTTATACTACTGTTGAAGATCGACAGACTGTCGTATGATTAGGTTAATTATTTGATTGTTTACATTTTAATTAAGTTTTATTAAAACATAAATCGGATAGAGGAATCAATAATGTTTCCACGGAGCTTGAATCACTTTAGACTTGGTAGCAGTATAATAAATAAATGCCATTATTTAAGAAAAAAATTGCGAAGACTTTGGATATTATTAAACTTGCACAACATGTATAATAAATAGTAAATGCCACATAATTGCCTTATTTTCAAGCTAGGATCCCTGTACATTGACGAACTAGGAAGACTCCAGCCAAGAAAAAAGAAAAGTTCGTTTCCAAAATTAACCAGATTCGAAACTAAAATTACGTGGACTTGTCTGTCATCGGAATTAAAAGCTTGGTAAAACAAAGCAAATATAAAAAGATTTTTTTTCTTTTTAAAAAGAAAGTCTAAACTAAAACATAAAGTTTAAATAAAATATGTATAAAAATGAACGTTTTTCAATTATCTCATGAACATTTAAACATCTTCCTAAAGGGTGTAGTCAGTCGTAATAAATTTGTAGCAATTTGAAAACAGACCGAAAATGAGTGGTCCAATGAGTACATTCACCATTGTATTTTATTTCTACATTAAACAAGTCATTAGGGAAACATGAGATATAACAACAAACACGAAGCATTAAGTGTAAACATTGTTTGAATGGAACGAGCACAGCTAGGAATAAGGTCGAAAACGTTTTGTACCATCATTGTATAGGTACTTATGTCAGGGAGCCAAGGACAAACAGCCCGACTTTCACCTCCCACGATTTAGAGAGAAAGCTCGTCTTACGAGCGAGTTTTTTCATCCTCTGACCTCATTATCGAACAAAGCGATAGACACTACCAAGGACACGGGGAAAGGTCTTAGAAAGAAAGCCCTTCGGATTAGTAAGTACGTCTTCAATAGCAGGTATTATGAATTATAGAATGAGTTCGTTTGTTTATTTCTTAGGTTAAATATTTTACTGATTTAGATGTTACTTTTCGGAAGTGCATATTATTGATTATTTGATTAGAATTACTTTGTTTAATTTTGCTACCATTATAGTACCAACACTCAAAGATTGACCACCACTGTCACTTTTAGAAGTTCCAACCTTCCATCATCATCACCATCATCATCATCATATCAGTCGTTAACTGTTCACTGCTAAACATAAGCCTTCCCCATAAGGAGAGTTTTGCCAGTAGTTGCCATGCTTGACTGGCGGATTGTCAACCGAAGATAGGCTTTGGTGATGTTTTAAGAAGGACGCTGATGACCATTATTTGACCATTAAGAGTCCTTAGTCGCCTTTTACAACACCTACATTAGCTACAACTTTCCATATTAGGTATCAAACTCCGACTTCTGAAAATAATTCTAATCAAATAACCAATGTTTCTTCAGATTCAAGACTAAAAAAGTATTTGGATGGACATTATCTTTGATGAATGCAATGGTAGGCAGTAAGACGTGGATATGATATAATATATAAATGTGACTACCGTATAAATGATTGCTTTCATAACATAATCACTGATTGAACAGAAAATGCGGAAAAGAGAAGAAATTTTGAAACAAAAGGAAAAACTGTGGGAACTTACAAGTCATAAACAGATAAAGCAATGTTAACCTTTAATTCAAGTATTGTTTGAAATGATCAAAGGATACGTGGCTATTGATAAATGGAATTCAATATGGTGGGTCGAAGGATTTGAAATCACTCGTGCGTGTACGAGCAGCTCTGGATCTTGATTAGGGTTCGATAATTAAGGTATCCAGTGATCCTAATCAAAAGGTGGATTGGTACTCTACGATGTTTCAATAAACTTATACAATAATTTGGATCTCGTTGGAAAAAATCGAACGATCGGTAACACGCGAAACGGTTAATGCGAGGTCGCTATGCAAATTATAATTTATGCTTGCGACTGACCTAAAATTTTATCGTAACGTAAAATTCGCAACGAGCGCGTATCTTACGGCGTCTGCTTTTAATATACTGATTTTGTGACTTGGTTCACTATATTCTAACATGTTACATTATAATACAAACGCAGGTCAGTCACCAGCTTTAGACGAACAAGGAAGTGCGCAAATGAATGCATCATTTGACCCATTAATTATACGAAGGCGGCTTGTTTAACTTTATTGGTAGAAACGAGATTTTTTAACTGCTTCTTCCGGTTATTAGTGTTACATAAATTATTCTAACGTATTAAAAAGCTATTAAATTGTTATACAAAATATATTACATCTATTTAAAAAAATAATAAAATGCGCTAAAGTGGTATATCTATCAAATTAATAATTGATCTTACAATCTTACGATATAAACTTACAAAACCTAGAACGCGTTAATGACACAGTAATTTGTTTTAATCAATGTGCGTTTTTTTTTTTGGAAAAGAAATAAACAATAATAATTTTACAATAATATGGAAATCGTTACACAGCGACGTTGTTGGAAAGTTAATAGTGAATAATCGACAGTTCGACGCCAAGAGTTAGAAAGCGTGCTGTAAACCGCAGACGTTCGGAAAATGTTCAGATTTCCTTCCTCGATAACAAAGAAAACCATTTACTGCAAAGTAGAGCAGTATTTACTATGAGCATTGAAAATACAATTTTCTGTCTAAACAAAATTACAAATACTTGAACATTTTAAATGCAATCCAATAAAGTTGAATAAAACTTGGACATTAAAAGGAATTTTAAAATCGTATCTAAGAGTTCAAAATACTGCTTCCGTTTAATGAACGTTCCCATTATAAATAATGAAACTTCTTCGTCAAGTAACAAACTTTTCCAGTAATTACAGGGTTTCTTTGATGAAAGATTGAATTAATATGATTGGCAAAGATACTCGCTCTTAATTTTACCTGACATTAATTACAGTTCAATCTGCTTTTGGGATTATTATCATTTTAACAATTCACTGTCCACTACTGAATATAGATAGGCCTGAGTACATACTACCTTTCAATAAGAGCTGTGATTCTGGCGAATTAGACAGCAAAACCTACCATGTAATGGACACCTCAGGGACATCGTTTCTACTTAGCGTAAGTTGCCATTCAGTACAGAACACTGATTGTGCAAGTAATACCTGCACTTTACAGGTTTTTATTAATTCAAGTACAAAGCAAGACAACTAACAGAACCGGTCGCCGGTAGGCAATGGAATATAGTCTCACAATGACAATAATTGAAATGGAGTTGTGACGTTGAACAGTGGGATGTAATGAGACGAAACAAAAAATAATATTCCGAGTAAGTCGGATTCAGGGCTACAAATTAAACAAAAACAGACAGCAAACTGTAGCGTACCCCCTTTTATAGAGGCTGACGGTCGTATAAAAGTTCTTCGCGTAGTCGTACTTACCGAGTGGCTTGATTGCTCGCTTACCTGGAAGAAACATATTTATTACTTAATCATCTTTTCATAATAAAAAAAAAAAAAGACTTGATAATGGATTTGTAAATTTATTCTGATATGAACGATATTATTTATGATATGTTAATAGCATTTACCAATATATTATTTTCATAAATTATATTTGTATGTGTACCTAATGAAAGAAGTATATCAATCTCAAATCTAGTGATAAGGGTCTGGCTTTTTGTATTAGCATTGGGGATTAGCCCCGACAACCTTTGCGAAAAAAAATATTTTTTTTACAATAATAGGAATTGTCTATGCTCAAATTTCCGTCTACATTTTAACAAGCAAAAAATTTTGTCTGTTTAGAAAAAGGATCAACATGGGGAACATTTTCATGAAAAAATTTGACTCTTCCACACAAAAAAAAGTGTCCAACTGTCAACAACTTGTTTCTCGATTCAGATTTCTTTGTGAAAAATGTTTAGTATCAGTGGTGCTACTAGACTTCACTCCCTTAAGAGAGTATCTGCCAATTTAATAAAATAATCTACTGATATCACACATGTGAACGTAAGTTTGCTTGTTGCCTCTTAGCGTTTTAAGGGCTTGACTAATCACTTTGAAATTCGTTATAAATGTATAGTACGTGTATCGGATAGAAATGGATTTGCATACGCAAATTTTTATCTCAATGAACAAACCCCAATAGAGTTGCAGGTAAACGCTGGTTTTAAATATTTCGATTTGGTTATTTAAAAATCTGATCTGATTGCGAACTTGTATTGATGCAATCAAGTGTTCAAGTCTGAAACGGTAAAAAATAATCTGACACAATCGTTACATTTCACAAACGCGGCCACGCACTCTTGTTTTTCTTCCCAACTTGATGTATGTATTGTTTTTCTGTAACTCTATTTCCAATCTAAGCTTCTAACAATAGTAATCTGTGACTCAGATCTTTGTTCATTGTAAGAATAAATCGACACGTATTGGCAGTTGACAGTTAAGTAGCATTTTTTAATCTTCATTCTTTTGCTTCAGTATTGTCATAAAAACAAACATTATTTCTATTTTTAAAGCTTACGTTAATTTTTATTCAATGTCTATATAAATACGGGAGATTAAAAAAAATATGTAACTTTACAGCATGACGATTGGAAACTCCAATAATAGAGCATTGATATTTTTTACTTGTTAATTTGAAGAAAATACTTTTGTATTTAAAGTGTTTATCTTTATTTATGATATCCTGTGGAGCTTAAAAAAGGTTTTTAACTATAATGAAAAAGCCTTCCTGATTACTTTTAATATGTATCATAATTCATCTATTTGTTTAACACAGGAATCCCGAAAATGTTAAGTTATTGGCGAACAAAAAGTTTAATAATCATAGTTCAAAATTCAATTAAACAAGTAAGCGTTTAAATTCTTGAAATGTATTTAATTGGCCGACTTTTTTAATTTATGATCTGGCCAAATAGCGGTGCCACGGTATCTAAGTCAGTAGTTAAGTACTTAGCAAAAATCCACCGCTATTGCCAGCAATTAGTGTAATTTATTTAATTTTCATGTTACGCGTCGAAACTGTTTTTGAATTGCTTTTATTAGTGTATGAATATGAAATTGTAACCTTTCTGTACTATTAGTTTATTGAGCAGGGTACCAGTGAGGGATAACAGGAGAGGATGAAGTTGAGTTTACATCAAAACGAATTCATCAGAAATAAATATCGAAGGTTTATAGAAGAACCGCATGAAAGACGACTAGCAGAGTATGTTGCTATCAATTCAATAAAGAATTATCATTACTTAGGTAAATCCTAATGATTGCAAAAAGAATTATTAAATCTACTAAGAATTTATGAAAATATTGCGTGGGTAACATAGATATCTTTCATTTTTCTTCTTAACGAATACAGTAGTAGCATGGAAAAACTATACGCGATTTGTTAACTTCTAATATAAAGTTTTTCAAAAATTAGGGTATAAGTGATACAGGCGTATTTTAAGATATCAAAGTTCGGAGACTATCAGTAAGTGGGATTCACACGTCACGGTGACTTGTGAACATATCTGAAGGTGTGAGAATGTGGCTCAATTTAGTCATAGATAATGATAGCCACAATTCATCCCCGTCATTCTATTAGATTTTTCGGAACTAGTAAAAATAAAACATTATGTTTCCTACCACATAACGATTATGATAAAGATCTAGAGTAACAGGTTGATCATCGCTAATACATGGCCAACAAGGCCGAGCTAGATCTGCCCGTCGGAAGCTATATATCAGATGTTCAGGGGTTGGACTAGTTATGACAGGTGATCTACTAGTGCTACCTAGATCAACGCTCTTATATGAGTGAAACATTTTTCATTAAAACTCGTCAACAAGGTAAATATAGATAAATAAATACTGGATACTTTTTATTTCAATTCAAAGTTAAGCCAAGGGCGGGATACAACTAAATTGATAACACTGCACGGAAATAAAGAAGTTTTAAGTTGATAAAATGCAATCAGGTATAACAAAAGTAGAGGTGTTAAAAGGTATAACCACTGATGGTTTAAGAGTTGGAGTGACTGCTACTTTTGCAGGTTTTTGTGAATTCAGAACTTTTAATGGAAGACCGAACTGTTTAACAATTCAAAAAGTTATTAATAATTAGAACCTTTCAGCAAAAAAAAAATTCCATTTACGACCTTTCTAGGTGATTTATTCGGGGTTTTAAATTGTATTAAATCATATATTTCCTATACGCATTTGAGAAGGTAAGCGATCAAATTTAATAACTGGTAAAATTTTTTTTAGCTGTTACCTTACTATAGAAACACAAACAAGTAGACAGAGAAAAAGGTTTTCAACGATATAAATATAAATAATTAAAAGCAGTCATATAAAAATCTAAATTTATTAATATTGTCGACAAATTTTGACTTCTAGCATACGCTACTAAAGCTACATACCTGCACTACACTAGAATTCGACAACAAAATATTTTTGAGTGTACGTTTTTTGTTTCTGTCATTTATGTCTCTCATTAGACAAAACTAGCCATAATTAAAAGAATAATAACAACTTAAGTGCTTTTGGTCAAAACTAAAGTATACAAAATTATACCAAATGTCAACAATCATCAATATTATCACACTTTCATTTAAGTAATTGTATATTCGTATCATACATGAAAAAGACATTCAGGTATATAAAGTACAAAATAAATTGACGAATTGATAACCTTTTATTATGAAGTCGGTAAAAGCGAGTCAATGTCACAAGACGACTCGGGGTTAATCTAGTAGTCAATTTATTTAATATCCTACCTCTATCAGATGAAACATCACGATGCGAGGCCGGCATGTTTATATCACTGTGCATTTTGAGAGATTCCTACATCAGTGCGAGGAAGGTACGGCCTGAATGGGCCCGATAGGATCTCATAAGGAATACTTTGTACTTTGTTGACTTTGAATAAATTGTATGCAATGGAATGTATTCTTGCAAACTTATCATGACACACGACGTTAACTGTCTAGGTAGTTAAAGTGAGAAAAAATAATAATAAAGAAATATAACGTTTAATTCGCACATCGGCAAACCGCATCGGAGAAGCCATTAGTGGCTAAATTGAAAAGACGAGTCGAAGGACCGTTCATTTCAACCTAGTTTGTAGCCAACAAAACGCATAGTAAAGGCACCGTGACAGTTAGCTATTAATGTGCATTAATGTATTCGGATTGATTTAAAAATAATTATTTATATAGATGACTACTGGATGTTTGTAAGGAAAACAGCGACTTTAATTATCACAAAATTAATTTTGGATCAACACAGGAGTACGATTGAGAATTTTCTCAATTTTGAAGTCGCCAAAAAGGCAAACTTGAATTAGAACAAATTCGTATGGAATCACGCTGAAAGGACATGAGGTACTAAAACAAATTGTCCTGGTATGTACTTGACATCATCAATATTTTCGTGGTGAACACAATTGTGAATACTTAACATCTAGTTTAGAAATGCGAAAATAAATCTGATTGTTTCTTGCATAATAATTGCTAAACTGTTCGGCGGATTTGAATGGAATTTAAGAAATTTATACCTATCTAGAATCTTAAAGTAGTTTTAGCCTTAAAAATGCATGAAACAAATATGCCTACACATTTTTTTTATACTGGTATTATAGGTACTATATATTGAAGTGGTGGCTCAACTTATTTATTTATTTACGATATTTAACAACTTGACAGTTTCCTAATTCGGTTCCTTAGCAATCATAATACGTAAAACATAATACAATGTAATTACTGGACACTATATAAATAATTTTTGCCACTCTGTTAAACTCGACAATTTTACAAATCAATATATCCAAGTCCGGATACTGGCTAATGATACCGTCAAGCGGAGATAATGGCAGTATAGGAGCTTATTAGCTTCCTATTAAAGAAGTCACAAATACGGATATAAACGCATGGCATAGAAGGTGTGGGTTCAATCTCTGTATACTTCGGACTTTTTTTTAATTGTACAATCACTTAATAATTATTTTAATATTCTCCCATTTTCAATACTAGTAAAGAACCCTAAGTGCTAAAAGTAAACTAAATATTCATGAATGCGGAATATTTGCATGAGTAACTGATATAAATAAATAAAAGGCGACGGGCGTTAATTGAAACTGACGATAATGAATCATTCTAAAAGACATTAAAAATGCTGCCACCAACGGTATAATTTATCTATTTATCAGTGCTATGTACACACGCGTGGTGCTTGCGAACGTTTCAAATTAAACTCATAGGGATAAAAAAACTAAGTACTGAAATATAAATGATTTTGATTAACTAAAAATCCCTTTCAATTAAATGGCATTAAAACCTGTTCATAATCAATGATAACAATAAAAAATAAAACTTAAACGAATTCTGATCTTTTTCCTGTTTTCAAATAGGTTAACAAAGAAAAACGTATAAAAATCTATATAATTCACTTCCGTTTTTTTCAATATTGATATCACTTCAATG